GAGAGACTTTGCCCAATAAACTGATGGGGAAAATATTGACAAACTTCATATCATAGTGGATAGCGATTTCTCCATATGAGATCCTCACAAATATGTAAGTTTGGCAACTAACAATATTTTTTGCTGCCATTTGGGTTTGTTTGTCACTCTGCTCTGCTGAGGACCCCATGTGTGAGGTACAGATGGCCTTTCAAATGCTGCATCAAAAACACTCACATAACCACGCCTCATAAGAATTGCAGCAGGAGGTCTATTTCACCACTCTGTGATATAGCACCTGTGATCTGAAGCTTTTGATCACACCATGGCAATTGATGAGGCTGAACACATGTGACTGAGGGAAACATCAAAACAGGGCAAAGTCCATGAGATACAACAGAAAACAATAATTGGTGGTTTAACTGGTTTAGCTAAGGGTCTGCATTGCACTGATTTGAATTTGAAAAGGTCTCTGAACTTGATTAATTTTAGATCAATAAAGACAGTTCTCTGATAGCTGCAGGGTAAGCAAGATTCAGATTAGCAGATTAGTTTAAATGAAATTGAATTTGTAATAGTTTCATCAGAATTGTTAAAATGGTAACACTAATTGGTGGCATGAGAGAAAATGTTTTTTTTGTTTAAACTAGTCTTACTTCCTATATTATGGTAGCATGCACAACAAATAAATTAATATAGACATTTCCAGAAAATGCATTGAGGTCAAACTGACATTAATGATGGCTTTGTTTCATTTGACAAGCCAGTAGCATATTAGAATGCCAGGGATTGTGATGAGGGGGCGAAACAATCGCTAATACATTATTACTTACGCCTGTTCTTGAAAAGCCAACGTTTATGCTTTTATAGAAGCTTATAATTGTAAACAGACCATTTTTTAATCACTAATTTTTCTAATTGACGCTCTACTGTAGAATAATACTATTTTGGAGTGCAGAGAATGATCTCAGGTCAAGCAGTGTTGTTAAGAAAGCAATGCCGATTACTATGAAGTCATTACTCCCTCAATGAGTTCACAAATGTTATGATTTCAATGTGCATGGACAACATAAGGATATAAGTTTTGCATTACTACCCTAATACTACTACTACTTAGTTAGTACTATCCATTTACCCCACTGTTTGCTTGGATAAAACAGCAAATCAACAGTAAGTAATCATATAATTAATGTTATTCTGTTTTAATACTTGTAACCTAAAGGAACAGCAGCAATTTTTCTAAATATATAAATGTTCATTTGAATCCAACTGAAAAAGAGTGTTATCATTGGTAGGTGGTTATTTACATGTTATGACACTTAATTGTAGCATTACTTTTACTATAATAAAAGGTCCAAACAAAGTCTTTAAATTGTACTGCCGTTTTGTACGAGTTCTCTCTGGTGAGAACTCGTAATTTCCAAACTTTCAGTGACATTGTAAACTCGCTGCGGTGACAGCCATTAATGCACAACGTCCCTGGTAACCACTCCACTTATCGCGAGAAGTAAGAAATGTGTTTTTGAGAGTATATTTAAAACTTTTTTGATTAGTTAATAAAAAACACATTTGGTATTTATTTGTTACAAGAAGCTTGCTTGTAAGAAGTATTTTATTAGTATGATGTAACTTTTTGAACAACGCAACACAAATACTTTGGTACTCACCAAATTACTTCCGCATCCGCTATGTTTTCTGTTTCGCGGGACAGCACGAAAAAGCTAGAGGAATGTCGTTGTTTGTATGGGATGATGGAACGAATGTGAGATTCCGCACCCTTGTGACGAATTGGCACTTTTAGTAAACTCTTCGTAGTTTGTTACGGGTTTGGTTCGTGTTGTCACGGCGGAGCATTGGTCGCTACGCTGCGACTCCCAGAGACAAACATGTCTCTGCTGTCCATGATTGAGCAAGCTATCAAATCTTGCAAATATGAACAAGCGAAGATTAACCACAATATTCAACACTACAGAGAAATACTACAGACCTTGTAAGTACTGTACATCTGAGTCATTCACCACTGTTTTATCAGGGCCTCAGGGCTCAGGATTTAAATTGAACTCGCCAGACTCTAATTCAAAACAGACACATTTTAAGTTTACAACTACATATCAGTCCGCTTGTCCTACGTTTGAATGCCTCTCGTGCATTATACCCGCTCGGGATCAGTTGTTAAGGTTTTCTGAAAGATTCACCGAAGTCATTACATTATAAATCATGTTAAAATCCAAACTTTGATTAAAGAAATTAAACATCTGTGCAATTGAGAATCCATCCGGCCTGTCTAGTAAACAGGCGATTTCGGGTTCAAATCCCAGTAGAGCCTTTTCCAGCACTGATAGTATCCCATTGACAAACACAGGGCTAACGCAATGCTTTGTTATTGGGATAGTCATTGTGACGTAACCTCTATTAATACATTGAGAATATGAGCATTACAAATGTTTCTACGTAACAGCTAAATAAGAATCCACAAAACTACTCAGAGCACGGAGCATATTGGTCACTGTTCTTTAATAATAAATATTTCATGAACTTTGTTAAAAATAATTGTTTATTTAAAAACCATTCATATTGGCCAATGTATTCCAATATGATTTTTAAACTCTCACAAATTGATATCTAGCTTAAAAATGCATTTACTGTAGGATTAGTTGTAAACTGCATGCAGTAGCCTTTACTTTTATTAGACCATTTTATGAAAGCTTGAATAAAAATTACAAGTGGAAGGTTTGCTTGGTTACACTAAAACTCACATTTTTAACTGAGCTTCAAGAGTAGGTTGTTCATATACCATTTTTAACATTATATTTAGTATTATATACTGTGTTATTGTTTCCTTTGTTTGCTTAACTGGCTCCTTTTTATTATTTTGAGTGTGTATTCATATGAAGTCTTTTCTTACAGAACACCACAACCAAAGATGGGCACTGATGAGTCAGAATTCGCAGATGACGCCGCTCCAGGTAAAAAAAAGTATTTCTCAGGCACAATGCTTATTAATCTACAGATATCAAACCTGTCAATGAGTTAGCTAGCATTGAAGGCAATGCTGTTGTCAAATACAAATAACGGGGGTAAAACCTCACTTGTAACCTAGGAAAATATAGATTGTTAATTTTAGATTAATACAGCTAAGTCAAGAAAGCAGAGCTGTCGTGTGCAAATGTGTGCCTGTTCAATATAATCACAAGTCTCTCATTCTTTTCATACAGGTAGTAATGGTTCAGGTTAAATACTAAAATATCTCAAATATAACCACTTGTTTGCATGCTGCTCTCTTCAGATACAGTTACCTCACCCGTGGAGAAAGAAGAAATGGAACTGCTTGAGAGAGCACTGGAGAAAGCTCTTCGGGTCCGCACTGGCACAGTGTCTTCTAAAAAAGACTCAAACAAACAATTTGCATGTCGAAAGGCATCCAGCACTTCAGCTGTCACATCGAAAGAGGGAATGCAGGCTTCTACAGCTCCTAAAGGAAACCAGAAAACCGTCAGATCTACCTCTAAATCAGCCAGTCTTGACAGAAAAGATCACAGAAAGCCTGGTACGTTGGTGTTCAACTCAAAATCTTCACATAGCTACCATCCTGGACAGTGCAAAACCATAATTAATAGAAACATAATCATGAACTGTTCTGTCTCTTCAGCTGGGATTGTGCATCATCAGGCAGCAAGGGCATCACAGCAGGCTGTCTCGGCGTCTGGCTCACTAGGTCGGGGTCAGTTACACACCTCGACCCTCCACTCAAAAAACAAAACTATAAGAAGCAATGAGCTGAGTGGGACTGACCTGGGCACAGCTGCAGCTTTTTCCACTCATTCACATAACACAGTGCCTGTTTCACATAGATTGGAGTCTGGAGCTCACAGTTTACCTCCACAGAAAGGGTAAACTGGGTTATGAAGAAACCACACTTATCTTTCACCAACCTTTGTTTGCTGTGCTATTATAATTGTTCTTTACGCCTTTGCTTCATGGCAGGAAAGCTTCTGATCAAACAGCAAAATGGAAATCTCTAAGAAGGAAACAAAACAGGTGGCCAAAATCAGTCTGATACTATTGTGATCATTTTACAACTGGTTCAACAGTTTCTCTTTGTTCACTAATTCTTCCTATCTACATTATTTTTAGGTTATGGGACAAAGTCGTTGCCCTACAAAGGAAACCTGTGTCAGGGAGGAGTCACTTCATGGAGAGAATGACAGCTTTGGTATCCTTCCTCTTTGTATTGATGCCTTTCAAAATGGTCTGGGAAGCCCCGTACATGTTTTCCATGTAGTGTAATGTTGAGTTGGAAATATACTCTAGTGTAACGTTTAGTTATAATTCCACCCAGCTATAAGACATTGTCAAAATATGTCTCTCAGAGCCTGTATACATTTTATTAATACACTTCTTCCTGTAATCCATCTCATACCTGGCGTATTGTCTTTGACCTCTCTGACCACTCTAGTTCCCCAAGGATTGGCCATGTGGTTGCCCGGATCAGACCAGGGTTTTGGTCGCAAGACTGACTCACCAAGGGCATGACCTCACCCAGCACAGGCAGGCAGAGGAGTTTCTGGGCAAACAGACGCTAGAAGTAGCCACAGAGCAAGGTAAAAGAACAGATGACGCATGCAAACACACAAAAATAGGAGAAGAGGAATGAGGAGTAATGAAGGCGATTGTGTTAGAAAATGATAATTTTAGAGGAAACTGCACAGGAAGTTGGCAGGAAGTGATTTTGTGAGAGCTGTTTGGACCGATTTATCCTCTGCCAATCATACTCAGGACCCTGGAATGAGCAATTGAGATGCACTGACTACCAACATGAGACTAATTACTGTACAATTAAACCAGTCAACTCCAATATATCCTGTCATATTGTTGCTAATGAAGTTTTTTTTTCTTCTGTTTAGGTTCTAAAACAAACCAGCATGACTCCTGTCTGGAACTTGAGAGGTTGTTGGTGGGAGCAGATCAGCTCCAGAACTCTGCACACCAAGCAAAACAAGGTAGGAATTCATCCTGTTCGTCAAACTAGATGGTTATAAGCAGAAAGAAAAATAAAATATTGAAATAAAATATTTCAAAACATTGACTTGCATAATTAAAAGGACATGGTTGGACAAATAATTAAACTGCGTTGTCAGATATAATATCCAAGTGTCAGCAGGTCTTACTGTCTGCAACATGCTCTAATATGCAAAACCTTCAACGATACTGTTCTAATGAAGCTGAATGCCCAGGTATTTTCCATTCACACCACTCAAATGACCGTATCACCTTCAGGAAGCAAAGTTTGTTGATGTTTATCAGTTATAGCTCAAGTGCAGCAAAAGTATGTTGCTAAAGCAAGTGTGAGAAAGAACTTTCTAGTAATTTCTAGCTCCCTGCTTAGCCAACATACCTCCATTTTGTGTTGTGACCATGAGCATCCAATCTAGCATCCCACATCCACCTTTCAGCGAGTATTTTATTTCAGAGAGGGATGAATCGTTTATTGCATTCTAACAGCATTTGAAAAATGCAATGTAGCGTGCTAACGAGCTAATGGAGCCGCTCCATCTTGGAGTATGGAAAATGAAAACAGAGCCGCAGTGAAACCTCAGTGCCAGATCAGTACTTCCCTTGGCCTCGATAGATCCCCTCCCTGTGACTGTGGGGTTTTAAAGCTGTCTATCCTGACGTGGCTAGGCCAGGGCCTAGCTATTTAAAGCTGAGGCAGCAGAGCAGAAAAACGTTTTAGTGTACGGTTGCTCACGCTCACGCTCTAAAAATAACCGTATTTTCCGTCAGAGTGGGAAGCATGGGATCGATGGAGGCCAGAGGGAGGTTGTCTTTGCCCCACTGGGGCAAATAGCGTGTGGGGCGATGGGATAATTGCACCCCTGCCCCTGACTATAACCTACACATCAGAGGCAGAGCTCAGAGAACTGGAGAATCTGAGAATGAGGGTGGCACTGCTGCAACAGGAGACTTACATTGAGCAGGTAAGAGTTCTTTGCTTTAGGTGAAAAAACTTGAATTAGAGGCTGAATCTTGCTAATGATAAGAAAGTCTGTGCATTCTGTTCTGAGTAATAGTCAATACCTTCTAAAAAATAATGTATTGACAGTCTTTTGTTCTTTATGACAGGCTCTGTTGGACACTCTGTCCCCTCAGCTTTCATCTATTGTACCTGGGCCTGGATGTCCCGACCTCAGTGTGCTGAGAGGCATGTACTCCCTGCTGGGGGAAGGGGGGGAGCGTTTCCCTGCCATAGTCCTGGACTCTGAGCCTGACTGACCACAGAGCACATTACACCTGTTCATGAAATCTACTGTTTATCTTCTTTTACACATAAGAGAAATAAAATATGACCTCTTAGCATAATGCAATCACAATACACAACATTCCAAACATATAACTACTTGGGCACGGACCTTAAAAGTAACAAATATTAGTTGTATCTGCTTAATATATTGTTATTTTAAGATGTAAATAAATCAAACATTGACTTTATACTCGAATCGGAATATTTAAATTAGTACTTCAATTTAGATAGCGTAGGATTTATTTTTCTAAATAGTTTTAAGTTGTATTTTGATAAAACGTTATGTTGTAAAAATCTTACTGTGTAAAAAAACCAAAACCTAGAATAATGGCTAATGGAAAAACTGAACCCATGGTCTGTAATGGAACACTTACTGTACCAGCAGGGGGCGCTCACTCACAGAAGAACTGACCATCAAACACACTAGCAGGGGTCTAATGTTAATCACTTGTTTTGAAAATGTGGATTGCAATTTTGATCCAATGTGTGACCTAGAATTACATGTGGAAATAAGGTTTCTAATTAAATACAAACAATTATTTTTAAATTGACTCATCTGCTTGACTGCTGGTCTGTGGAATAAAGTGAAGTAATGAAACAAAGACTTTTTTTTTTTTTAATCCTGACTTTCATGGAAAGCAGCAGAGATGCCATGACTTCAGGCTCATTGCCATGTGTTCAAATGTCTTCCTACTGTCTGTTAAATCAGGCTTTCTGAAGAATTCACATTGCAAATTATTGTATTTGTTAGTTTCTACGAGATTGACCTGAAACATTTTCAGTGTGTTTTATTGCACTGTGAACCCCCAATACTCTACCATAATGTTTCTCCATATGACGTGTTTGCTTTCCTTGCAGACTTTCATAATCTGGCATGCATTGAACGATATATAACACGTATGTGGCCAATATGAGGTCTCTGCGATCTGAGAAAATTACTAGTCCTGAATTTGCCCGCCACACCTGTTATGAAGGCGTATGTGAGATGCGAGAAGTCCTGAAGAGGCCCAAAAGGCTCGTGCCCACAGATGATGTGTGAATGGCAGGGGCTGTGCCAGACTGGGCGACAGGTGGCGCTGGGTTCACACAGCAGGACGTGGGTGTTTGAGCCCTGCTGCAGAAACCCTCATGTACACACAAAGACGGGACATGCATACTCAAAGCCGGCTAAGTCATACGGATGCCCAGGTGCCTGGTTCAGTGCATGCTAACTGGAAATGGCATGTTTCCCTGAGTAGAGGAAACAAGAGGTCATAAAAAGGAGATGGATATTTCAGCTCCAGATTATGATCTGTGTCTTAAAGGTCCCATATTATACTGTTTTTCATCAATATATTATAGCTCTCAGATAGATATACAAAACATGTCTCTGAAGTGTTTGCCTCGAAACACCAAGCAGATAATTGCAGCATCCCATAAACCCCTCTGTTTCAGCCATGTTTCAAAAGTGCTGATTCTCTGTCTGTTACTTTAGATGAAAATAAGGAGCCACTCCCCACGCCCCTCTGAGAGATATTTGGTTAAAAAGAACACAATGGTGCTCGAGGAGGAGATTCAGGTGATAAGGAGGGGCGGGGGGGGGGTTACCTTGGTTGGTAATTGGCTAATGGTTACACAAGCCAAAAAATCGTTATGACATCATAAAGTGGCCAAAATCTGATAAGCTCATTTCTCAGTTTTTATATAAATGGATCAGGACAAAAAGTGAGCGAATATTTTTTCCTGAAACTTTCAGCATCTCTTTACACAGAAAGGGACACATGTGTATGTAAAAGACATGAAAGAGTGGATTTTGCATAATAGGTGACCTTTAAACAACTGGAGCATAATGACTAGATCCTCTGTTTCTGTTGTTTATCAGAAATACAGTCACACGCCACTCGAGTGCAGCCAAGTTTTTCATACGGAATTGGAAATGTGCTGCGTTGGTTCCTTTTCTGCCCATAGAGTCTTGGACAGTGTGTGAGTAAAGGAGGAGGCAGGGAAGCATCCTTGCGATCACGTCAACACTACACACAGGTCCCTGAGGGAGTGGCGCCTACGCAACTCAGCCTTCCTGTGACCTGCATACATCAGCTGCTGCTGGGCTCTGCCTGTCACCGGCCAGGCTCTCCTACTCCCCTCAGCACAGCCCTGGCCCTGCCCAGGTTACTCAGGTCTCACGGCTTTGTCCCATATTTCTCACGCCTTCAATGCCACATTAATGGAAGAACCCAGACAAAATGTTTTCCCGTGGAAAAAGAATTACTTTCTTTCCCATGCCGGTACTTCTGTTTGCCTCACGTACTAGCACAAAGAGGGACAGAGTTGAATAGTCTTTTCTTTTTCGTACACATTCCTTCCTACTTGTTCACTTTTCTCACCCTTTTCTTTACCACTTTTTGCAGTCGTAGTCCACTGCAATGCTGGACTTCAAGTACAAATCCACAGAAACCGAACAGTGCTACCAAGAATCCACTTCTGTCCTTCAAATGCCCATTGAACATCTCTTTCTCCTGCACCCCGCCCCCCACAAACACATTCCTCACTTCTTTTTCTGTATCTCCTCTTTTGCTCAGCTTCATCTCTGCTGCACAGTGAGCTACAGCAGGGATCTTTAAGTCAGTGTGGTCAGTCATCAGTAAGCGGCATTAGGGTCATTTATTTGATTTCCTCAACCATTCAGGCGGTCTGAGCCAGTTCCCTCCATCAAGTTGAATATCTTTTGTCAAGACGAAGAAAAAAGTGTCTTAACTAAGGATCTGTTATCCTGCTTATATGGAGGCATGTTTGGAATTTCAATGAGAATATTATGTGTCTCTTAATCTGATAATGTAGCTATTAAAGAGCAAGAATGCTTTAATCTAACTGAGGAGAAATCTGTTGCTAATAAGAAGCCATGCTTAACAATTCCATAGACATGCTTTTTGAACCCATAATAAATATTTTGTGACCCCAAAGCTTCAAGAGATGACTTCTCTGGTGCGATCAAATATTATTTTTGGGCACAGTCTTCATGCATGACAATGTGGTCTCACATGAGTCTTCAAATGAACTTGAAAGCTTTTTGCTTCCTTTTGTTGTAGATAATACTATACATGAATTCCAATGGCTTTTAGCACCAATTTACTAGAATCATTATTCAGTTCACAGTTCTTTTAGAGAAAAAAAACTTAGAAACAAGAAGATGAAATGTTGCCATGGCAAATACAGCAACGCTTGAAGATATAGACATGCAGCACATTCATCCTTCCCTAAAATAGCATCTCAGATGTGGAGGTGTGAAACGAGCAAGTTTAGGAGAAAATAGCTATCTGGATTGATGTTCCCTTCATGAAAGAGAGAGATTCAGGCGTTTTAACTACTACGAGGTTGCCTTCCATGCACAAGGGACTGACACCAGCAGTGTGTGTGGGTGGGACAGCAGTGTGGGCGGCCTATGTTTTTCAAGCTTGTATTCTGTCATGTGTGGGGATGCTCATTAGTGTATATTATCAGGACATTGTATATTTGATGTCTTTCTGGAAATGAGTGTGTGGGTGGTCGTAGGATTTATGTCTGCTATTGATGTCTAAGCGAGAAGTGGTGGGGTGCAATGGGAACATAATTGAATTGCCTTAAGAAGGTGGACCATTTGAGCTATAGTGATGAGATGGAATAACTAACTTTCCTATAGGAAGTAATGAGGGATTCCCCTTTCACTTCTGATTAACAGTCAGA